TGTAATATTATGTGTCATAACTAAAATAAAACAAAAAACAAAAAACCAAAAACAAAAAAAAACTAAAAACAATAAAACCTTTTAAAAAACCAAGCAAATATTAATTATAAATTGGGTAAATATTCTATTTATAATTACTATTAAATAAAAATAAAACCAAATAAAAAAAAATAAAAAAAAATAAAAAAAAATAAAAAAAATAAAAAAAATAAAAAAAATAAATTATCAACTAAAAACTTGGTTTTTTAAAAAAAAAAAAAATAATTTGTTTTTCGTTGAATATACCAAAAATATCTTCAACAATCACCAACCATTTTTTGAACAATCAGGAGGAGAAAAAAACGAATTTTCTTTTTCTTTTTTTTTTTTTTGGTTATTTTAAAAAAAAAAAAAAAATAGTAATTCTATTAATTACCATTTTTTGTGATACCTGCTGGAATCAACCATTTTTTTAAATTATCTTTTGTTTAATAAATAAAATAATAAAATACCAAAACAATTATTTAATGATCAATTATTTACTTATATTTTATCATGTTTTTTGAGGAAATATTTTTATTCGTTTATTTTTAAAACGAACAATAATATTTCCCCAAATTTTTATAAAATAAAAAAAAATAAAAAAAAATAATTTTAAAATAAAATTATAATTTTTTTTTTTTGTTTTTAATTTTTGTTTAAATTGCGATATTTTTGAAAGCAATAATTATTATAATAATACAAATGAATCCAAGAAAAGGAGTTTTCTTTGTAATGCTAATAGCTTTATTTATTGTTTTTATAGGATTTTTATCTTCAATCGAGTTTTTTAGAAATAGACCCACAATCGAAATATTGGACAAAAGTAAAGAAATTGTCATTAAAAAAGAAAATAGTATAGATATCATAACAAATAATTTAAATAGTAATAAAATAGAAAATAATAATAATAATAATAATAATAATAATAATGACCAAGATGATAAAATAGAAAATAATAATAATAATAATAATAATAATAATAATAATAACAATAATAATAATAATAATAAAAATAATAACATAAAAAAAGATATTTTAAATAAAGATCTTAGTAATAAACTTTTAAAATTTAAAGAATTAAATAAACCTCAACAGTTTGGAGAAAAAAAAAGATTACCAAGATATCAAGATTTTGAAAATCCTTTGAATCAAATCGATAATGTATATAAAGAAAATCAACAACAAAATATTGAAAGAGCTGAAAAAGTTAAAGAGGCAATGAAGTATGCATGGGACTCATATAGGGAAAATGCATGGGGTCATGATGAATGGTTACCAATAGAAAAAAAAACAAGTAATTGGCTGGGTGGTATGGGTTTAACAATTGTAGATTCATTGGATACATTACAAATAATGAGTTTAGATAAAGAACTAAATGAAGGTAAAGAATGGTTATCTACATTATTATTAAATAGATCTAGGGTAGGTTTTTATTTACTTTGTAGTTTGTTTATTAATTTATATTTTTGTTAACAGTTTTTTTTATTGATAATTTTAGAGCCAGATATCAGCATTTGAAACCAATATTAGATATTTAGGGAGTACTTTAGCAATGTACGATTTAACAGGCGAGCAAGTTTATTTGAATAAAGCAGTTGAATTTGGGGATTTATTAATGTATGCTTTTTCAGATAAATATCCTTTTCCTGCACGTTTTATAAACACTGTTGGCAGAGATACAGGAGATATTAATGAATGCATTTCATTAGCACCACTAGGAACATTCTCTTTGGAATTTGCTCGTCTTTCAGATTTAACAGGTGATGACAAATATATAAAAAAAATCAATATTGCAATAGATACACTAAATAAAATGAAAACAACTTATGATGGTTTGTTCCCATGTTCAATTTCAAGAGATGCAAAAAATTTTTGTAGTTCATTATTATCAATTGGTCGTCAAGGTGACTCTTATTATGAATATCTTTTAAAAATGTGGATCTATACAGATGGCGAAGATGAAAAGTATTCAAGATATTTCGAAACCTCTGCAGATTCAATAATCGAGCACCTATATAGAGAAACTAAAGCTGGATATGGCTTTATTGGTACTCTTAATGACAATGTATTGTTGGTAAACGAGGATCATCTTACCTGTTTTGTTGGTGGTATGTTTGCATTGGCAGCTGCTGTTAATATTACTGGGAATGACGAAAAGAATGAAATCTATATGGAGGTCGGTAGAGAAGTTACAAGAACATGCGCAGATAGCTATTTTAAATCACCCATTGGTTTGGGTCCAGAGATTTTTGGATTTGATCAAGAGACTGGTGAAATTGCTTTTAACGAAGTCAATGCATTTCTTTTAAGACCAGAGACTGTAGAGTCTATTTTTATTCTCTATCGATTAACTGGAGATACAATGTATCAAGATTGGGGTTGGGCTATATTTGAAGCTATTGAAAAGTACTGTAGAATATCCAATGGTTATATAGGTTATAGAGATTTTTTAACTGGTTCCAAAAATACAGTCCAACAAAGTTTTTTTATGGCAGAAACATTAAAATACCTCTATCTATTATACAGCGATTCAAACACAATTCCATTAGATAAATATGTATTTAATACCGAAGCACACCCATTATTAATCAAATATAGTAAATTATAAATATAACAAAAATAAAAAATCAAGAATATTATTTTAAATTAAAAAAATACCTCCATTTTTATTTTATTTTTTTTAATGTTTAGGTTTTTATTTATTTTATCTTTTTTTTAATGAATAAAAATAGACCTCATTATTGAGGATCCATTATAATATTAGAAATTTGAATCACTAATATTATTTTGGTATATTATAATAATTGACATTTTTACATTTTTTAATTAAATTTTAAAAGGGTGAATTGGATAAAATGGTGTTATTTTTTTTTTAATAATAATATGGTAATTTTATAATAACCATGATTATATTCATCAGTTTTGATTATTTTAACTTAAACTTAAAATATAATTACTTTTATAGAGTATTAAAAAAAAAAATAATTTTAATTATAAAAAAAAATTAAAATTAAAAATTTTAAAAAAAATTTTCTTGCCTTTTTTATATAAATTTTTTTATAAATATATATTGCATATCTTTATAATTTTATTTTTATACATCTTTATATTTTAATCATCTTTTATAATTATCGTTTATTTATATATATCACACACTTTTTATGATTTTTATATATATTACACTTATTTTACAAACATATTTTATTTAATTTTATTTTATAAAAATGAAATTAACACCAGAAAAAATAATCAAGTTATTAGAGGACATGTTAGTCCAAATTTTATATACCAGAGGCGAAAATAGATCATTTTTTGATGAAGGTATTAGAACCGCAGAGAAAATGATAAAAAAATATACCAATTACCAATGCAACCAACTACTTTGGTTGTAAATTTTTTTAATGTTCACCAACAACAAGAAGATGAACAACAAATAGATAATCAACAGGATCAACAGGTAGAGAATCAAACTTTAGAACCAAATGAACAAGAAGATCAAGAAGAAATCGATAGTGACAATAACTACGATTACGAATGGAGATGTTACCAGATCCTAATTCACCACCACCAACCCCAAAATCACCAGCTCAAGATCAACATGAGCATGAAGAAATAGATCAAGAACAAGTCGATGATCAAGAACCAGAAGAAAATCAACATAGAGAATTAACAGTATCCTAACAAAATGAAGCAGATATTTTTCAAGATTTTTTAAATAATTATCAGCCACCTGAACCAATAGTCCTTGGTTTAACTGTTGAATATCATCCAGTAGACAGTGATGAAGAATTCAATAATAATAATGTCAGTTACCAATTACCAAATACCCCACCAATATTGTCATCCCAAGTAACCAATCAACAAGAAAACAGTTCAGTTGAGGAAAATAATCACCCAGATGAAAGCAATCAAGAAAATCGATACCCTCTTTTAAATCAAGAACAACAAGAACAATATGCATCATCTGAAGATAGTTATGACGGCAACAGAAATCAAGATTTAAGTCTTTCCTTAACCCTTGAGCATCATAAGATCGATAGTGACGATGACTATGATTATAATTGGAAATGTTACCAAGATCCAAACTCACCACCACCACCAACCCCAAAATCACCAGCTCAAGATCAACATGAGCATATGCACAGTCACATAAACATACACATATATCACATACATATATACATTCATATGTACATGCACATATATATACATAATCACATGCTCATTCCCAAACTCACATACTTACATATGCACATGCATTCACATATCATATGCATACACATTAACATAGGCATGGAAATACTGATAATCATACTCCAACTAGTACACAAGAAATTATAATAATACTTTGTTCCGGACATTCTATATTTTGGTATGCATACTCTCCTTTAAAAATTGAGTACCATACAAAAAATATCCCTTTTCATATAATATAACTATACTTTTATAAAAAGTCAAGTATAATTGACAATTAAATTAAATAAAATTACTAATAAAATAAAATAATTGAAAGATAATAATATTTTATAATTTTAAAAAGTTAATTAAAATAGAAACTATATTTATTAAAATTTGTTACTATTCCTAACGATTCTATTTATTTAATTTTTATCCTAACTCTTCTTTGCTGTAATTACTGTTCAATGGATACCCCAATAATTACCCAATTCATATAGACCCGAGATTCTCTTTATTTAACTATGTGATGTTCTTTACTATAATACTTAAATAATTAAGCTATATATGGATTAATGTAATTAAAAGTTAAAAGATCGCACTCTAATAAAATTTAGACAGATTTATAATTTATTTCATCTACAAGAACTAATAAGTTTGTTCCTTATTTTAAAAAACATTACAGTTATCACAAACCATAATATCTGTATTGCAACTATTTCTATTTTTTAAAGCTTCTGTTTAAACCAAAGATACAGGTATTTCTTCTGCCCAATACACTAAAATCTAAATAAAGGAAAAAAATAAAAATAATAATTATAACTAGATCTTCAAACAGAGTTTAAATAATAATACAATATAAATTTAAAAAAAAACCAAGGACATATATATAAAAAAAATCTAAAGAAAAGTAAATCAATAAGTAAGACAAATAATAAAAGTTAATCTAATAAATTAAAATCTTTTATTTAATAAATATGTATTGTTTATAGATAGATTATTAATTGTATTAACTATAAATAGAGAATTTTATAAAATATAAAAATGAACTTATAATTGATAATTATTAAATTGAACTATTTATACTTTTAAATTGTTAATATTATAATTGGTCATTATAATATTAACTAGAATAAATTGATATTATTATTAATTAGACTATGATAATTTGAATTGCTATTATCTTGATTGATTATTGATTAGTAATTTGAAAAGGTGATTGCCATTTACATATTAAGATGTAAAGGTGGTAATGTAGTTAAAGAGATGAATAAGACCATAAATATTATTAATATCGTTGACTTTAGCAGAACTAGGATCAAAGAGGAATAGTGAATACAATTTGAGCATAGCTTGAATGATTTCCAAAGTGAACGGTTATAGAAGGTTCAACAAAAAAGACTGTAATTTAAAAGAAGAGTAACTGTAGAATTACAAAGTAATATGTATTGGGAAAAGATTGGAGTAGTTGTAGAACATTGATATTAGATCCGAAGAGTTTTGGAGGTGGCAGGCTTTTTTAATTATTTATTTTTTGATAATTTTAAAGTTGGTTTTTTTTTTTTTTTTTTTTATTATTACAGAGGTAGAAAAATGGGATAATTGGATAATTATGTATGTTTTTTAAAATGGGGAGTTATAACTATTTTTAAAAATAGTTAAAACTCCCCATTTTAAAATATATTGTTATTAAAATGAAATTGAATTATTAATTTTTAAAAAAAAAAAATTATATTAAAAAATATTTTTAAAAAATTAATTTTAAAATTTTAAAATTTTTATCCATATATTTTATTTATATTATATATTTTCACATCCTTTTATTTTAACCAGCTTATATATTTTTACACCATATCCACATCAAATACATATTACATTTTATATTTTACATATTTTCAAAATCTTATATTTTATACATACGAAAAGAAACTTTCGAAAATCCAATTAGAGGAATTATTACGCGATTTATTAATCCAATTACAGTATTCCAGAGGCGAAAATAAAAAATTTTTTAAAGAAGGAGTTGATACTGCTAGAAAAATTAGAAAGATTAGAAGCATTAATAATAGAACCAACTACTTTGGTTAATTTTTACAATTTAGAAGATTTTTCAAATGATGATTTAGAATCAGAAAATGAAGAAAATCAAATTATTGACAATTTAGAAAACTATGAAGAGGAACCAATTTTATCCACTCCTCCAGCTCAACAACAACAAACAACAACAACAACAACAACAACAACTACCACTACCACTACAACCACTGCAACAACCCACCAACAAGATAGCAATGATTCATCTGATGATAATGATGATTATGATTATGATTGGATATCCTATCAAATTCCAGTCTCACCACCAATGTCACCATCAGAACATCCAACACATAACTTCCCAATTGAAAATGAAGAGCCAATTCATGTTTCACCACCATATCACTACCCTTATGAATTGGAAGAACCTATTTATTCAACACCTCCACAACAACAACAACACAATCTTATAAATGAGTTTGAACAAGAAATAGATGATTATATTCATGACCAAGAAGTCCCAGAAATTATTGAAGATTTATTTTCTTACTTGGATGAAATAGAAGAACCACAAATCAACCAACAAATAGTAGAACAACAATTAGATCCACAAGTAGAGCAAGTACATCAAGAACAAGGAGAACAAAATCAAGAAATAGAAGAGCCACAAATTAACCAACAAATAGTAGAACAAATAGAGCAAGTAAATCAAAATGAAGAATCATAACAATCAGATTTCCCACCAACTCAATCACCACCACATCAAGATGAAGAATCACAACCTCCACATACTAGTACATATGAACATGAAAATGCACATGCTCATAAGAGCATATACATGAACGTTTTGGTATGCATACTCTATTTTAAAAATTGAGATCCATAGTTCAAAAAATATCCCTTTTCATATAATATAACTGTACTGTTATAAAAAGTCAGGTATAATTGACAATTAAATTAAATAAACTTACTAATAAAATAAAATAATTGAAAGATAATAATATTTTATAGTTTGAAAAGTAAATTAAAAGAGAAATTATATTTATTTAAATTTTTTTAACGATTCTATTTATGTTAAATTTAATTTTTACAATAACTGTTACTATTCTTAACGATTCTATTTATGTTATATTTAATTTTTAATCTTCCTAACTCTTCTTTGCTGTAACTACTGTTCCATGGATACCCTAATGAATACCCAATTCATATAGACCCGAGATACTCTTTGTTTAACTATATGATGTTCTTTACTATAATCCTTGAATAATTTAGCAATATATGGACTATTGTGATTAAATATTAAAAGATAACACTTTAATAAATTTTATTTCATCTACAAGAACTAATAAGCTTGTTTCTTATTTTAAGAAAATTATATTTGAGAATATAAACACATAAAAAAAAATGATATGATAAATTTAAAATTTCACAGATGCAATGCTTCGGGATAATGGACATATTGGAATTGTTTTTACTACAATCTCAAGCTTCTTTAATATAAGGGTAATACTGAAGTAATTTAGAGAGTAATTTCACTGAATTTTAATTTCTCCAAACTCGAATTGAATTGAAAATCCCAAAAAACTTTTGTACAGGTCGGCACCTGGTGGTGAATATTGATTATTTTTGTGAAATAGCCATATTAAAAAATTAAAAAAAAACTCGAAAAATAATAAAAAAAGCTGGGAAAAATAAAAATAAAATATTTTTTTTTTTATTTTTAAAAATTATAAATCCAATTTTTCATCATAAATACATAAATATGAGATTATAATTACAAATATTGTCCATTAAACCAACCCCATAGAAAGTTAAAGGTACCATTAAAATCAGTTAAAGCCATTGGTAATTTCCCACACTTGGTCACCAAAGAGAACCCACCAAGACCAGCCAAATCAAAGATAAACCAAACCCAGATCTTTTCCCAAAAACTGTCGGTGATGTATTTGGTTTAAGAGAAATTGATTTTGCAAGATTATCAATGTTTTATAATGAAGATTTTGGTATAGAAGCTTCAAACACATCAATTGAATCATGGAGATATTTATTTTTCGAATGGTTAGGTTGTAATATTTTCCAAAATACTGGTACTCCTCAATAAATTTTTAAATAATCAATTTATTTATTAATCTATCTATTATCATTTGCACAAGTTGTGCTATTTATTTTGTTTATAACTACTAAAAAATTATTAATAAAAATTTAAATATTTTAAATTAAAAATAAAATAAATTATTTTCTTTCCATTTTAGAAATATGATAAAAATATAAACCATTTGAGGAATATTGTTGTTTTTTTAAAAAAAATTGCAATTTTAATTTTTTTGGTGTATTTGAAATTTTGGTTGGTTGATTAAAAAATTCGAAATTTTATTTTTTGTTAATTTTTGGGGAATTTTTCGAAATTTTAATTTTTTAAAAAATATTAATTTAATATTTTTTTATTTATTTTTTTTAAATAAGCAATGGATAAGCTACTATCTCTAATTAACTATCGTATAAATGAAGAGTTAAAAATAAGTAGTAATATTGGTGATAGGTAAATACAATAAATATAATAATAGATTAATTAAAAGCATATTAATTGGTTTTCTCTTTTAACTATTTATTATAGATTATTATATATAGTTTGGAATAATATATTTTTAAGAAATGAAATTCATAAACATATTTTAAAGTTTATAAAACATAAAGTTGTAGATCTTGATATATCAACTTATAACCAGTTTAAAGATAAATCATATATAACAATACTTTGGTGGGATGGTAATTCACTACCAGATAAAAATAAATTTCCACCATTTTTGAAAGATTTAAATTTGTACCGCTTTTATAAAAAGTTAACTCCAACAACTTTACCAAATACAATTACCACCCTCTCAACGGGTGATGATTTTAACCAAGTAATTCTACCCGGTTCGTTACCAAGTAGTCTCACAACACTCACATTCGGTTATAAGTTTAATCAAGTAGTTAAACCTGGCACATTGCCAAATAGTCTAACAACACTCATATTCGGTCATGATTTTAACCAAGTAGTTCCACCCCGCACATTACCAAATAATCTCACAACACTCACATTCGGAGGTGCTTTTAAGAAAGTAGTTCAACCCGGCACATTACCAAATAGACTCGCAACACTCACATTCGGAGGTGCTTTTGACCAAGTGGTTCAACCCGGCACATTACCAAATAGTCTCACAACACTCACATTCGGTTTTCGTTTTAACCAAGTAATTCAACCCGGCACATTACCAAATAGTCTAACAACACTCACATTCATAAATAAATTTAACCAAGTGGTTCCACCTAGGACATTTCCAAATAGTCTTAAAACACTCACATTCGGTCATGATTTTAACCAAGTGGTTCCACCTAGGACATTACCAAATAGTCTTAAAACACTCACATTTGGTGGTAATTTTAACCAAGCAATCCTACCGGGCACATTACCAAATAATCTAACAACACTCACATTTGGTGATGATTTTGACCAAGCAATTCTACCCGGCACGTTACCAAATAGTCTCACAACACTCACATTCGGTCTTTATTTTAACGAAGTAGTTCTACCCGGCACATTACCAAATAGTCTCACAACACTCACATTCGGTTATTTTTTTAACCAAATAGTTCCACCCGGTTCATTACCAGATAGTCTCACAACACTCAAATTTGGTGATGGTTTTAACCAAATAGTTCCACCTGGCACATTACCAAATAGTCTTAAAACACTCACATTCGGTCGTAGTTTTAACCAAGTAGTTCTACCCGGCTCATTACCAAATAGTCTCACAACACTCACATTCGGTGATAATTATAAACAAATAGTTCCACCCGGCACATTACCAAAAGGTCTCAAGGTAATAAACAATATGTCTGCACAAAATAAAGTGTGCAAACGCAAACGTCGAGAGAGTTCCCTAAACAGGTCCGAATGATAAAAACATAACATTAATACTAAAAAAACTATAAATAAAGTGGTCGGCTAATTACTAATAACCTAAATTTCAAGCACTTAATTAATCGAAATTATAACAGTTTCTCACATTAACTGTGGATATACCTGCAATGGGTGGTCATTTAGAAATTGTATGGGAAGACTTATTAAAAAGATTATAATTAACCTTAATTTTACTCACAATAATAATCCAATAAATAATCTAAAAGTAATAAAACATAAAATAAAATTTACGAATTATTTAATATCTTTGCTTTAAAAAAAAAAGATCTTAACTTTTCAATAAAAACCCAAACCTCATAAATAATTATTTAATATTATATATAATTATTATTTTATATATACAAGAGATTTTTAAATTTTATTTATTTAAATTAGTTTTTTAAAAGATTTCGATTTTGTTTTGAGTATCTTTTTTGTAATGGAATGGGATGAATTCCATAGCACCAGAGGTATAACCACCTGTAGATGAGGTACCTGAAGTACCTGAGGTACCTGAGGTAGCTGAGGTAGCTGAGGTAGCTGAGGTTTGTGAACCGCTTGAGCCAGTATCACCGGTGCTAATTGGTGAACCAGAGTTTGAACCTGAAGTACCTGAAGTACCTGAGGTACCTGAGGTAGTTGGTGAACTACCACTGTTTGAACCTGAGGTCTGGCCAGAGGTTTGTTGTGATCCACTCATTGAGCCGGTGGTAGTGAATTCACTGTTTGAACCTGATTGACTACCTGATTGACTACCTGATTGACTGTCGCTTTGACTACCTGATTGACTACCGCTTTGTGATGAGCCACTGTATGATGAATCGCTATTGGATGAACCTCTGCCGCTTGATTCAGAGGATTCAGAATCAGAGTTTGATGAACCACTGTGATGACCACTTGATGAACCACCAGTTGAACCACCAGTTGATGATTTGCCTGAGCCACCAGTAGTGTGCTTGCCTGAGCCACCACTAGTTTTACCTGAGCCACCTGAACCACCTGCACCACCACCAGTAGTTTTACCACCATCTGAACCACCACCAGTAGTACCAGCTGTATGGGTAGTTGATGGACCTGAAGCAGCATGGGTAGTAGCTGGAGCAGTTGAAGCATGAGTAGTACTGGTTAATGGTCTAGATGTTGTACCACTAGAGGTAGTTGATGAATGGGTAGTTGATGTAGTACTGGTTAATGGTCTTGAAGTTGTACCACCAGTAGTTGAGTGGGTGGTTGATGAGGCTGTGGTAGTTGAGCCAGTAGTTGATGGTTTTGGGAAAGTAGTGTAAAGACCGAATGAAGCGAAAACACCATTAATTGGTTTAGTATTGTTGTAGATAGCTGAAACAGTGTAAGTGGTACCTTTGGTTAATGGGGTTACGGTATCACATGGGCTCATTGTATATAAAAGACCGTTTACATATTTAGCAGTTGATTTACATAAAACAGCACCAGTAGCGTTGTTGATGAATGACATACTGATGATACCTTGTGATGCGGTGCCCATAAAAGTAACAGCAGAAACATCTGATTGCCAAACGTAGTTATTGGATTGAACAAATTGTGAACCACCGGTGGTAACATTGAAAGCTGCACCATTTGGTGAAGCAGCTAAAGATGATCTTGAGATTGGTGTAAAGGTTTTAATATTTTCGTATTTAACGAAATACTTGACACTAATATTACGAGCAACATCATTAGTAGTAAAATAAGAAACAGCCATTGAGGCGGTTGAACCGTCTGGAATATTAATAACGTATGGTGATGGGAAAACAACTGGTTCAAAAATATTTGAAAGTGTAAATGAAAAGATTTTTCTTGAAGCTGGTTTATTTATATTGATATCAACTGAAATAACTTTAATTGATTGTCTTAAAAATTGCTCATTTGATGAATCATTGAGGAAAACTGCTTGAAAAGCTGAAATTTGGAAAGTGCCATTTGGGAATGAAATACTTGGAATAGTTTGTGTAACTAATTTATTCTTTTGGCTTAAACCTAATGGTACTGATCCAGTGAATTGTTCACACTTTTTATTTATTTATTTAATTCATTCATAATTAATTCAATTGTTTGTTATTTGTTTATAAGTTTTATTTATAAAATATTAATATTAATATTTTTTTTTTTTTTTTTTCTTGATTTAACACTTACGGAAACAATAGCAAGGGTTGCAATGAAAAGGAGAAGTAATGAAACAAATCTCATTTTCTATATTTTATTTATTTATTGATATAAAAAAAAAAAAAATAAAAACCTTTTAGCCCATAGCTTTTATAAAAAAACAAAAAAATAAAAAAAAAAAATAAAATTAAAAAAAAATAAAAAAAAATAAAAAATTAAAAATATCTCACGACTTTTTCCTCATCTTTTTCAGTTGAAAAAAAAAAAAATGGTCCTATTACCGACTTTGCCCATTACCATTTTTAATTTTTAAAAAAAACAAAATATATCAAAAGAAAATTTTTTTATTTGTGTAAGCCGGTTTATTTTAATTATTATTAACAAAAGGATCGTTCATATAAAAAAATAAAAAAATAAAAAAATTTGTTTCGGGGTATATTCGCCAATATATAAATAAAACTACGAATAATCTAAAAAATAACTTTATTTCTTTGTTTATATTTTTATTTGTTTTATTTATTTAATAATTTGTTTATTTTTATTTGTATAATTTTTATTTTTAAAAATAGAAAAAAAAAAAAAAAAGATTTAAATAATATAAATTTTGGTTATAATCTTTTTTCTAAAACTAAACTGTGGGATTTAGGAATTGAATTCAATCTAAAGTTTGGCGAGTCATCAATAATTTGATTTGTTGATGATCTAATTTTGAAATTTAAAATCATATTGGAGCAGAACAAGTAGTTAATATCGTTGGAAAGGTTTTTACCTACACATTGTCTTTTTCCAATACCATAGAGCAAGATTCTTTCCATATGACCCTTTGGTTCACCGATAAAACGATCAGGTTTGAATTGTTGGGGATCTTCCCAGTAATCTTCATCCATAAAAATAGATGATGTAATTATTGCTACAGCGGCGCCCTTTGGAATAAAATAACCATCGACCTCTATATCCTCTTTTGCAACTCTTGGGGCAGTTGATGTACCGATCCTATATCTAATGACTTCATAAAGAACAGAGTTGAGGAAGGGTGTTTCATAACGGTTTTTAATGGAGATGAAGTTTTTATCAAGCTTTGATATTTCACTGTAGATTTTTTCTTGTACCTCTGGGTGGTTTGCCATTATTAATAAAAACCATTCCATTAAAATACTTGTAGAGTTGAGTCCTGCATTAAAAAAATCTAAAATTGGTGCTAAAATGTTGTGCTCAAATTGCTGTTCTGGTGGGTAACTTTCATTTAGTAATATTAATTCGTCGATGGTATCTCTTGGTTTTTTTCTATCTATAGTTTGGTAATGTGGGTCAACAAGCTTATTTTTTATAATTCTATAGGGTTTATTCAGTATCTTTAAACCGGTTAGTTTATGATATAGACCAAAGAACAAACCAAAGAGATGACTGTTTAATAATGGTTTTCCTTGAGTTTTTGATAACACTTCGAATAAACCGTCCATTAGTTCCCAACTGCATGGATCATTCAGTGTTTGCTCGTATGGTTCTGAAATTTGAAAATATTCATAAAATACGTTTATAAGCATTGGTTTGATGAATTGCCAAGATTTTATATTATTTCCAATTTGATGGTTTGAAAAATGTTGAATAGTCTCTTTAATTTTATCTTCTACATAGTTTGTTTTTTTACGTAATATTATATTGGTTGATAGTGATGAAAAGGTGTGTCTAATATTTTCCCATCTAACATCTCTTGATTGTGTTAAACCTGAAAAATTATGTGATAAAATTTGATTGGTGTAGATAATTGGTCTATTTAAAAAATTGTCACTATTTTTAACCAAAAAATCTCTTGCTGATTGTGGATGTAATAGTAGGCACATATATAGATCCATAAACCAAAATGAAATAACTCTATGCTTTGTTAAATGTTTAGTGTTTTTTGATATTTCATAAAAAGGTTTCATAAAATTCACTGTTTTTTTTTTTTAATTTAATATTTTTTATAAAAATAGTTAATAAATGTATTCAATTAAAATTTCTAAAATAAACTGTAAAGCTACAAACTTTTATAAAAATGACCAAAAATTGGAATAGCTAACCAAGTGGCTCTAACGGGATCATTATTTGAAAATTTCTTATTAACATATATCTATATTTATTTTTGTTTAATTAAGTTATTATATTTATTTAAATATTTCTTTTTTTTTTTTTTTTCTTTAAAAATTAACTACTTACAAATCTAAGAAATAGTAGAATCAAAATAATATAAACCAAAATAATATATAACCCCATTTTTTATAATTATAGAGTGTGTTATTTTTAAAAGTAAATTTAAAATTAAAAAAATTTTTAAAAAATAAACAAAGAAAAATTAAAATTAAAAAAAAAAAAAAGAAAAAATAAAAAAAGAAAAAAAAAGAAAAAAACTAATTAAAGAGGTTTTTATATAAAAAAAAAGTTTATTAAATTGATTATTATAAATTACTAAATTAATATTTAGGGGCCATCTCACCTAATATTTTACTTATTATATTATATCTGTAAAATTGCAGATCTAATTTTTTTTTTTTTTTTTTTGCCACCTCAGGTGGGGTATCGTTAAAAATATTGTGTAAAATTATTTAATTATATTGAATATTTTTTTTTTATAAAAATATAAACGATATTTTTTATTTAGTATGAATATTATAAAAAAAAAAATTTGTATATAATAAAAAAAAATCTATTATTATATATAACTCTTAAATTATAAAAATTTAAAATTAATATTATTTTTAATAATTGTTAAGTTTTATAGGGGTATTGCATTGTTTTTTATCTTTGTTAAAATATTTTCTGGAATTAAATGTGAATAATTATTAAAATTGAATAAATAAATTTCTTTAATAGATGATAGTATCCTTTCGTCTATTAACAATAGTTGTTTAATATCATATATGCATAGTGATATTGATAGTGGTAAAATGTCGTCTGAAATTGGGTGTTTGAAAGTTGCACCAAAATGAATAATTTTTAGTCTTCTTGGAATGGTGGCGGCTAAGGGTTTGCCAATATCAAAAATACATAGCTCTTGTAAAGAGTCTGGAATAGCACCATAGCCAATAGAATGGAGATACCCGTCGCAAAAATGTAGTTCTTTAACTGAGTTGGGGATTGCTTGTGGTAAAATTTGTCTTCTGATCGAATGAACGTAAAGGGTTTCTACTGATTCGGGTATCATAGAGGACTTAAGTACATGGTTAAAACCATTTAAAAGATGTAGCTTTTTGACAGTTTTGGGAATTGATGTGGTTCCATTATCGTCATCTAAACGATACTTTAAATATCCAACTGAAAGTTCAGTTACAGATGGTGGTATAATTGATTCCTTTATGATTCCTGCTAATTTACCTGTATCTTTATCTCTAATTTCTTTTTCATACACCAACGATTGTCCAATAAAACCTATACCTAGTTTCTTTACACCATTTGGAATCGACTCAAAAGTCAATTGCTCTTTAATACCAAATATAAACAAAGACTCTACTGTTGGGGGTATTATTCCTGGACTAATAGGATGACTGTAGCCATCATAAAGACACAGTTCCTTCACATTTGGCGGTATGGCTCCAACCTCCAATGGTCTCTTTATATCACCCAATCCCAAAATCTTTATATTTCTAAATAAATTATTTGACTCTATTGATAATGAATGATTGAAACCATCAAATAAAAATAATTTTTCAACATTTGATGGTAATGATAAATTTGAAAATTCGAACTTTGAATCGACCAAAACGTTTTTAATATTTTTGAGTATTGGTTCGCCATTCCATAAATAATATTCATCTAGACCAGATGCTAAAGACAAATAAAATATAAATAAATAATTAATATTTATTAATTATTGCAACTGTTTTGAAAATATTATAAAAATACATACATTTAAACCTCTTATTTATAATTAAATTATTTTTATAAATTAAACTATCTTCTTTAAAATCTTTTGATTCAATTTTACAAATTGATTTTAATGATTCTTTTATTGATTCGATAACTGTTTGTTCAAATGTAACAGTATTGTTTTTAAATGTCTCAAATTTATTATTTAGCTTTCTTTCTATTAATTTATTATATTGAAAACTATCTTTAAAGTATTGTAAATCGCTATAGTTATAATTGCTATTGTTGCTGCTATCATTTAACATTTGCCATTTCTTTATTTTTTTTTGTTGTGATTCATAGTTTTTTAAAATTTGGTTCATAACATGTAAATCTTGATCCAATTGGCCTTTAATCATTGTCTCTATATCCCTATTTTCATCTTGAACCGACTCTAAGTTTTCCAGTATTTGATCCTCCATCTTTGTTAGATATGAATGTAGATGGTGAAATTGCTTTCTTATGGATTCCATATTCATTTTATGGGTATGCTCTGTTTTTAAAAAGCCCTCATCTACTGCTTGCGACACTATTTTATCGCTCGCTATATAGCCTTTAATAAATTGAATTGATTCCTCGTTGATTAAATAACTTTCCTGTGCGTTCCCACTGCTACTCAGTCGAAGTAACGCCTTTTCACTTATTGAAATATTGTGATCTTTGTGAACATCATTTAAGTCTCCTCTTAACAAACAATTATTACATATTATTTCGTTACAGTCTTTACAAAGCAATGCAAAATCCTTTTCATTATTATTACTACATACACAATTATAATTTTGTGATACAGAAACAGTGGATATTGGTGTTTGTTGTTGCTGTGGTGTTGGTAGTGATGACTGAAGATGTGGAGATAGTGTTGATGTGACTAATCTTTTAGGAGATTGGGGCGGAGATAGTTTATTTTGCTTCTTTTTTTCTTTTTCTTTTTCCTTTTCTTTTTCTTTTTCTTTTTTTCTTATTTGTTCTTGTTGTTGTTGTTGGTATTTTTGCTGAGACCTATCTTTTTTTTTATTTTTATCTTTTTTTTTATTTTTTTCTTTTTTATTACTATCCATTTTTTGGTTCTAAACTATTTTATTTTATTTTTTTTATTTTTTTAAAACAAATATAAAAAAATTTTAGCAAAATGCATTAACAAAATTTAATAAAAAAATTAAAAAAATAAATTAAAATTAAAAATAATAAATCAAAAAAAAAATTAAAATTTTTTTTTGTAAATTTCGAGCATTCATGTTTCCGATAATATTAGAGGAAACATATGGGTTTTGGTAAAATACCGAAAAAGAAAAAAATAAAGAAATATTAATCAAATAAATTTTTAATAAATAAATAAATAAATTTATTATAAAAGTTGTGTGGTGTCTGTGTTATTTTTCCATAAAATTTCACACACCAATTTTTTTTTTTTTTTTAATCAATTTATCAATCAGTTTATAACTGATTTTTAAAATATACATTCCTTTAAAAAAAAAAAGGAAATAGCAATAACAAGTGAAAAATATCATACAAAGACCTCAATCATAATAGGAATTTAACGAAAATAAAATTTACAAATTATATATATACATATAAAAAGATATATAAAAAAACACGAATTTTAATAATTTAAAATAATATGCGATACTGTGTGTGTGTTTCTTTTTTTTTTTTTTGAGGAAAAAAAAAGAATCAACATCAACAACAAGAATATTATAATTTAAATTATTATTTTATTTTCTTTTTTAAAATATATTAAAAAAAATAATAAATTATATATAATATTAAAAATGGACAATTATTATACTATCGAATAAATTAATAAATATAGAAAAATTAAACAAATCTATAATTAATGAAAGAGTTAAAAAAAAAAAAAAGATAATTAGTAAATTGATTCTTTTTAAAATTTGTATACAATTAATATTGTTTTAGAATTATATTACTTACAAATTCCTATTATAAGGTCTGCGTGAACGAGCGTGAGGAATATGATATGATGTGTATATGTGAAATGAGTTTAAAAAAAATAAAAACAAACAAATATTTTATAGATTTATAAATAAAAGAGAAAATATATGGTATGTGTGTGTGTATGTGTTATCACATGTTATTGCTATAATAGAGTTGTATAGTTATGATTTAAAAAAAAAAAAGAGGGAATGAAAAGGAATGAGTTTTGTTATCTTTCCTTTTGTTTTGTTTTTTTCTTTTTCAACCAAAAAAAATTAATTATTTAGCAGAGTGGCAAATAATCAGCAGAATAGGTTCTTCTACGAGCCCATCCACAAACCTCTGATTTTTGATGATTACAATATTCGCAAACTGTAACATTAGATCTCCAGACTGAAAAGCAATCGACCTAATAAATGATAAATAAAATAATGAGTTAGTCTCCACTTGAATCATTTTGTTTATTATTTTTAAAAAATACTTACGCAATACCATGCTTTTAATGATCTTTCGTGTGGTGGTTCAATCAAGATATCATGTGAATCTTTAACATGATGATGATAAACATCTTTTTGACAAATTGGGAAAGAACACTTCTTATTTGAAACTGTAGTTGACATTTTTATTTATATTTTTTTGTTGTTATTTTCTTTAATAAAGAAAAACCAAATTGTTTATTTTTTAAAAATTATAATAAGTTATTATTATGAACTCTAAAAATATTAATTAAAAAATAAAAAACCAATTAGTTTAAATGAATAATATATTAAGTATTTAAAAAACAAATAAATAAAGAAAAAAAAAAATGGGGATTGTGGCGATGAAAAAAAAAAATAAAAAAATAAAATAAAATTAATAGGGTGGAAAATAAATTAAGTGTACTTTTTTTTTTTTTTTTGACCGTTAAAATTTGTATATATAGGGAAAAAGATAGATAGGAAAAGTGAAAGATAAATAAAATTTTATTTGATAACTAGATTATTATTAATTTAAAATTTATAAAAAAAGATATAAATTAAAATTTTTGGTGGAGGTGGTATTTAAATATAAAAAAAAAAAATAAAAAAAAATGAGTGGAAATGAAAAAAATTTAAAAATAATAAATAAGTGTATTAAATACAATTTGTTGAGTTTAAAATTTAAATTTTTAATATATATATAGCACCTAAAGTTATATAATAATAATAAAACTAATAAAGACAATTGAATAAATGTAAATATTGTTCTTTGTTATTTTTTTTTATTTTTTATTTTTTTTTTTTAATTTTATATTTTTTAATTTATAAATTGGAGCAAAGATAATGAAACAAAACAAAAACAAAAACAAAAAAAAAATTAAAAATAAAAAAATAATAAATAGTGTTATTTAAATAAAATCTTTTAAAATTTTTTACTTTTAATTTTCTTTTTGCATATAAAATTTTAAGTGGAACACTGGTAAAAAAAAATTTTGAAAAAAAAAAAAAAAAATCTCAGCCCATCCCGCCTTTCCAAAATCCTGTGTGGAAATAGAGAGAGAAAAATGTGGGTGTAGGAAATTGTATTATTATGAGAACATGCCCTTTTGTTTTTTATATTTTTTTTTTTTTTTTGTTTTTGTTGAATATATCCAATAATTTTGTTTCTATTATTATTCCACACACTTAAAACACACACATAAACACAAATAAAAAAATATAAAAACACACACACATAACAATAATTTAAAAAAAAACATCCTATTGTTTAATGTGTGTGAATTATATTCGATAAGAAAGAGATATGAGGGGTATTAATGTGAGATAGAGAATAAATTATATACTTAGGGATAGGATTTAATGAGATTTTTTATATGTATAATTTGTCTTTGCAATTTTATTTTTAAATAGTGCGTCTATTTTTGTTATAAAAAATAAATTTCCCACAAATTCACGCTTGCACACATACACACATTGACATATAAAACAATAGTTTAAATTTTTAAGTATTCAAAAATACAATACTTATATGAAAAAAACATAAACAACCAACAACAACAACAATAACAACAACATTTTAAATCGCCATAACAAAAATAGATGATAGTGGTAGTAGTGGTGATTTAAATCAACCATTTATTTGTATGTTTTATAACTTACTTTTAATATGTTAAATAAAAATAGAGTCAAGTATTTTAATATAAATTAATAAAAAAAAAAAATAAAAAAAATAATTTGGGTAGCTCGAATTTATGGCTTCCACCAAGCGACTAAAATAATTAATTATTTTTTTATTTTTTTATTTTTTTATTTTTTTTATTATTTTTTTTTTTTATTTTTTATTTTTTTCAAATAATTTGATATTTGAATTTTGTTTATTATAATTATCTTTATTTTAATCTAATTATTTACTTTTATAATTATTTGTTATTTGATCAATTTACACAATATTTTTATTTTAAATATAAAAAAGAAAAATAAAAAAATTCGCACGCACACACAAAAACAAACACACCCAAATGCTATTTTTGAATTATTTGTTTTTTTTTATGGATCGGTTTTGTTGTCGTCAAATGAACTGAATTTTTTTTTTTTAAATACATTAAGTTAAAGATATATTAATAGACTTTATTATTGTTTTTAAAATTAAATTAAAATTATAATAATTATTATGATGGTTTGTTTAAACAAACTTGTTATAATAAAATGATTGAAATGATAATTAAATAAAATAAATATAATGAATAGTTGTAGATTGATAAGTAAGAGGCATTTGAAGAATCTGAGCTTGAGAAATTGGTTGATTCAGAGCTTAATGGTGGAAGGGTAATTGGTTCGGTAATATTTGTTTTGAGGACAGATTTGAAAATAGTACCGGTGGAGTTTTGAATAATACATTTATCCAAGTCATATTGCTTAATCATTTGACATTGATCGCAGTTTGAATCGATACAGGTATATGAGGTATATTTGGATGAGGTGCAATTAATCTTTAAACCTTTACCACAAAAGTCATTTTTGTATTGGGTGATTTCAGATGGTGATGAGGTTAAACAGGCACTGTTTGGAGTAACAAATGATTGACAAAAGCCATTGGAGTCTGGTGAGGTAGTATTGTCAGCTTTGGTGACTAATTGGGTTTCATTGGTAATTGAATAGATAACATGGTCTAAACCAAGATTGGTGCAAGTTCCGAGTGGGAATTCAGCAATACTAACGCATTGGGCACCACAACCAACTGATAAACAATAGTATTGTACGACTTTGCCTCCACCTGTTTGAACATTACCAGTATTGGTACCAGTGGTTAAGGATGATGAAATAACATTTGTAATGGCTTGAGTGATACCTTGGACGGTAGTTAGACCGAGAGTAAGTAGACCGCTATTAGTTTGGGATGCTGTGGTTTGAGCAGCATTTGATGTTGGAGTACCAATGGTCTGTGAGGTGGTAGTTTGAGCAGCATTTGATGTTGGGGTACCAATGGTTTGTGAAGTGGTGGTAGTTTGAGCAGCATTTGATGTTGGGATAGAGCCAGTAGTAAGAGTATTGGATGCAGTTGGAACCTCTAATGATACAGAGTCAGCATTTTGTTGTAAATTTTCAACATTTAAACCAGCGACAGCAGTAAGAATACCAGAGCCAGCACTAGTCATTCCAAGAGTAACTGCTTGAGTAACAATAGATGTAATATCAACAGTACTTAAAGTTCCAGCGGTGGTAACTGGATTAGTTGAAGCACCTGCAGTGGTTGCGCCGCCAACATCGCTAGGAACATACTTGTAAATATAGTTGCCATTACAACTATTTAATAAAACCAAGTGACTTGAATAGGATGGTTCGCCATTGCAGGTAGCTGATTTAAATGTATCAGTTCTTAAAAATTGACCACTACTGAGTTTATTTAAAAATAAAATAAATAAAGCTAAGATTTTATTGCTATTTTTCATTATTTTTTAATATTTTAAATATGTAAAAAAAAAGAATAATATTAAATATGAAATAAATAAATATACTATTAAATAATTGTTTGTTTGATGAAAAATATTAATAGTTTTAATTGTTTAAATACTTTTTTTTCCTCTGCATTATTTTAATTATTTTAATTAATTTAATTAATATTAATTAAAATTAATAATTTATTATTTAATAACGTAAATGTCAGTCATGATATACATAAATATAAAAAATTAAAAAAAAAAAATATGTTTGAGAAGTTTTTTTTTGTGTGGTAAAATGACGAATAAATAGCTTTTTGAAAAGGAATAATCATTTAGAAAAAAAAAATAAAAAAAAAAGTTAATTTTATTTATTTTTGTTTTAGGATTTGAATTAGTTCCATACATCTCTTTTATGTTTGTCTTGAGAGGCCCAAATATCCAATAGTGATGAAGCTTCTTGATCAGTTTTGATATTGAACGAATTGAATTTTTTTATTATTTCTACTAAGCTATCATTGATTGATTTTCCAATTTTATTCTTATTCCCACACACATAAATGATTGCTCCATTATTTACAATTAAATTATAAATTAATTCACCATTTTCTTCAATTAGTTTATTAATATAAACTTTTGAATTGTTTATGTTATTGTTATTATTATTATTATTATTATTATTTTGTTGAGAAAACGTAATAAATAATTTTGAAATAATTGAATCTTTTTCAAATTCTAATAGCTCATTATTGTATAAACTATCCCAATCCTTTCTTCTACAACCAAAAAATAACAGACAGTCCCCAATAGGTTCATTCGATTTGTGTATTATTTTCGAGTCTTGAATTTGATAGTAACGATGTTGAAGGAATGATCTAAATGGTGCTATGCCTGTACCTGTGGCTATTAAAATGATTGGTGTTGATAGATTGTTTGGTAAATTAAAACCTTTACTTGGCTCGATAGTAAATGGAAGATAAATTGATGGTTTATTTTGATCTGTTCTATCATTGTTGGAAACAAGGTGTTTAAATAGTTGAATTTGGTTGTGCATCCAATGAGTACATAGTCCAAATTTTTCTTTTACTATTTTATTATTGGCACTACCGCTATTATTTGTGTTAACTATTTTGACTAAATTAAATGTTATATGAATATTATGTGTCATTAAGCTACTATTGTTATTATTATTATTATTTATTGATAGTGGCGAGCTTGAAATTGAATATTTTCTTGTTTCGTGTGGAGGTATATTTATTAATATAACATCTAATGGCAAGTCACATGTTTTGAATTTGCATAATAAAGAGACCCAGTTCATTTGGTGTGCAACAATGGTTTGGCTGTAGAGTTGCTGGCCTTGGGGAGATGATAAATAAAGAAGTTTTTTTTTTTCTTCTTGATCAGTGCAGTAATCAGCCATCACCCTTAAAAAAAACTGTGGAGGTATAAAACATAAATTAACAGCCCATGTAAAAATATCAATGATTTTGCAATACTTTTTACTTGGTAAGTGATTAAATTTATTTAAACTACCATTGTTATTTCTATTATTTTTGTTATTATTACTATTACTATTATTATTATTTATTATAATTTTAATTTCTTTGTTTGGGTCTATTTTTAATCTCTTTATTAATTTATTTACCAATTCTATTTCTTGGGGACATAGTATTGATACATAATCGCCAGGTTTGTACTGTATAGGTTCTTCTGATCTAATATCTAAATGGTATATTTTATTTGGTGAGTTTTCTCCTGATAAAACTTGGTATGAATCGATTTTGCCAACTTTTAAACTACTGTTTTCAAATAAATTATTAAATAAATAGTCTTTATTATAATCTAATATATTGAATTGGTCTGAAATTTTTATTGAGGTCGATAGTAAACTATTCTTAATTGATTCAATTTCATTATTTTCTTTTTCTTCTGTTCGGTCCTCATCTTCTCTATATTTTATAATAAATGTTTGTTCTTGATCGCTTTCACTATTATTATTATTATTATTATTATTATTATTATTATTATTATTATTATTATTATTATTATTATTATTATTATTATTATTATTATTATTACTGCTGATATTGTCTGTATTATCATTCATATGATTCGCATTATTATTGTCATTATTACTATTGGTTTTTTGTTTTATTTTTTCTAATTTCTCTTGGTTTCTTTCTTTAATTTTTTTTACTAGCGAGTTATAATGATCTAGTTGAATTTCGTAGATATCGTAAACACATCTAATACAGCCACTACCACAACATTCATCTGGATCTGGTTCAGTTGGTGGTTCTGGGATATCTTCAAGTGCCAAGTTTTCTCCTTGCTCTTTCATATTATGACACCTATTTTTTGTTATTTATTTTTAATTTATTTATTGGTTTGTTTATCTTTATCGTTTTTTCCCAATTATCCATTTTTTTTTTTTTTTTTTTTTTTTTGGATTTTTAATTATTATTATTTTTTTTTTTTTATTAAAAAAATTTTTATTTTTTATTTTTTTTTTTTAATTTAAATTTTTTTATTTTAAAATATTACAAATTTACATATATATATTAATTAAATAATTAAATATTCCTTTTAAAAAGAAAACAGATAAAAAGATCTACAATTTTATTTTAGGTCATTTCACACTTTTATAATATTAAACCTTTTGACACACAGTCATGAAAATTAATTAGAAAAAAAAAAATAAAATAAAAAAAATAATAAAATAAAAAAAAAAGAAATAAAAAACACACAACACATTACTGTTTTAAAATTTTTTTTAAAGAATATTTTTTTTTTAAAATAGAATAATATTTTTTTTTTATTATTATTATTATTATTATATTAAATACTAATCATTTTATATTTAGCATTATTACTAAATATAATATATTAAATAAATAGCTTTGATAATAGTTTTAATAATAATAAAACAATAATAAAATAATAATATAATAAAACTATAATAAAATAATAATAGTTAATTATGGATACTGTGAATGAAATAACTCATAATCATGATCCAATAAATAATAATGTGGAAAATAGTGTTGGTGTGAGTTTATTAAGTTTATTTTTTGGAGGTGCAGGATTTGCAGGTATTGGTGGTAATGGTGGCAAAGGAAATCAGTATGAAATCATTAAATTTGGGTTAACTATATTTTTTGTTACATGGTTTGTTACATTAATTAGGTCATATTTAGTTGCCATTTTCGATTTAATAAAGAATAGATTTTATTTTACTGCCAAACTGTCCTACCCAGACTCTATGTTTGTATGTTTCTTAGAATGGTTAAGTTCTCAAAAGACACTATTTGGCACAAGGGGTGTTAGCGTTATGACCCATTATCAAAATGTGGAAGCTGATGATGGTGGAAAAATAGACATTAGATTATTACCAGTTGGAACCCAATGGTTCTTATATAAAGGCAAGTTAGTTTCAGTTGTACGTGAAACAGCAACAAGAAGATCTTTTGATGGTATCAAGGATGATCATCTCGAGGTTACAGTTTATGGTGGCGATAAGAAGATTATTACAGAACTATTGGAAACAGCTGTCGAATATTCTATCAATTTAAATAAAGACAAGGTAAGTTTTATTATATTTTATAACCAATAGTAGTTGATTTCGAAGTAGTTCTAATTTTTCTTTTATTAGACTAAAATTTATAGTTTAGACTCATCAGCAACTTTTTGGGAATGTATAGCATGCCAAAATAAAAGATTAATAGACTCAGTATTTTTAAATGAAAACATCAGCGATACAATTGTAAATGATTTATCCAACTTTACCCATGGCAAGCAATGGTATTTGGATACTGGTGTACCATACCGTCGTGGTTATTTATTGTATGGACCTCCAGGTAGCGGTAAAACATCTTTTATATTGGCAATTGCTGGGCACTTTAATAAATCAATTAGTATTATGAATATGAGCAAGGGTATTCATGATGGCAACATTCATTCAATCATTCAAAAGTGTAATAAAGATACCATTTTAGTATTGGAGGATATTGATGCAGTTTTTGTAAAAAGAAAGAGTCAAGGTGAAAATAACGTGTTAACATTTTCAGCTCTCTTGAACGCTATAGACGGTTTAGCTTCATCTGATGGTAGAATTTTAATGATGACTACAAATCATTTGGAACGTTTGTCCCCAGCCCTTATCAGACCAGGTCGTATAGATATGAAAGTTAAATTTGACTATGCTTCGCCACACCAAGTAGACTTAATGTTCAAGAGATTCTTTGACTCCAAATATCACCATATGCTCAACGAAATTAAATCAAAACTTTCAAATAACCCAATCAGTACAGCTCAACTTCAAGGTTGGTTTATTATCCATCGTGATAACCCAACCAATCTTTTACCAACTTGCGATGAATTTTTATCTCAATGTTTATCAGAAGTTTTATCAGACGATAAAGTTACCAAAGAAATGTTAAATAATGGCACCAATAAAAATAGTAGTAATAATAACAGCAGTAATATTAGTAGTGAAGATATCACTGATGAAGATGACGAGGAAGACGATGAGGAAGATGTTGAAGATGATAATAATAGAAAAGATCCAAATCAAGAAATACAGTCTAGAGATATGATTAAAAAACAACAAATCCAAAAGAAAAAAGAAAATAAGAACAGTATTTTATTGACATCACTATCACCATCCAATATTTCAGATTCAGAATCAAACAACAATAATGATGATAGTGAACCCTTCATCAATAATAATATTTTAAAAACAAGAAAGAGATTAGTTAAATAATTTTTAAGTTATTAAAAGATATAATTAAAAATAAATAAATTGTTTAACCATTATTTTTTTTTTAATTTTATTTTTATTTTTTTTAATTTTTTTTTTTTTTACCCACAATCAACCATAAAACCATTTTTTTATTTTTTTTTTTTAAATAATTTAATAATATATTAAATATTTTTTTAAAATTAAAACATAATTAATAATAATAGTTATATAACCAGATTAGTTTAGTAATTTTCATTGCAATCATTTTTTTTCATTTTTTTTTGTTAATTTTATTATATTTTATTTTTTATAAAATTTTTTTAAAATTTTTTTTTTAAAATTTTTTTTTATTTTTTTTCCCAACACACTTTTTTTTTTTTTTTCATTTTTCAAAATTTAATTTATTTTTAGTCTATTTATTTATTTTTATAAAGTTTAAATATTTAATATAAAAAATATTATATATTTATAATAATAGTTTTATAAAAACTAAATAATAAAATATTAAGATGTCACAAGAATCATCACCAAAGATTGAATCACAATCAAAAAAAACAGCCAAACCATTCCCAGAATGGATCAAACCATCAGGTAAAGAAACAGAATTAGTTGTCAACAACAGTTTAACTGGAGGCAAAACACCATTTGTTTTCAGCAATAAGGATGGTAAAACTATTACATGGTATGCATGTGGTCCAACTGTATATGATGCATCACATATGGGTCATGCTAGAACTTATATCAGTTTCGATATTTTACGTCGTGTCATGAGAGACTATCTCGGTTTCAATATCCGTTTCGTTATGAACATTACTGATATTGATGACAAAATTATTATTCGTTCAAAAGAACAAAATATTTCACACAGTGATTTATCAAAGAAATGGGAATCTTCTTTCTTTGAAGATATGAAAGCTTTAAATGTATGTATTGGTTAAAAATATTTTATTTTGAAAAAAGATTATTAATATTTCTTTTTCTTTTTTTAAAATAGGTATTACCACCAGATGCATTAACTAGAGTTACAGAATATGTACCACAAATTGTTGACTATGTTCAAAAGATTATCGATAATGGTTTTGCATATGAATCAGAAGGATCAGTTTATTTTGACACACAATCATTTATTAAATCACACGATTATGGTAAATTAGAACCAAATTCAGTTGGTAATGAAAATTTAGCAGCAGAAGGTGAAGGTGCTCTTTCAGTTGGTATTTCAGATAAACGTAGTCCATTCGATTTTGCTTTATGGAAGAAATCAAAAGAAGGTGAACCAGTTTGGTCAAGCCCATGGGGCGAAGGTCGTCCAGGATGGCACATTGAATGTTCAGCTATGGCCAGTGATATTTTAGGTGACAATATCGATATTCACAGCGGTGGTTCTGATTTGAAATTCCCACATCACGATAACGAATTAGCTCAATCTGAAGCATACTTTGGTAACAAACAATGGATCAACTACTTTATTCACAGCGGTCACTTATTAATTGATGGTCTTAAAATGTCAAAATCACTCAAAAACTTTATCACCATCAAAGAAGCACTCGAAAAATACACATCTCGTCAAATGAGAATGTTTTTCATTCTCCACAAATACGACAAAGCTATGAACTACTCTAGCGAATCAATGGGTTATGCTATTGAAATGGAAAAGACCTTTGTCGAGTTCTTCCACACCGTCAAACAACTCATCAGAGATTCACCACTCTCCAATCCACAATTCTGGGAAAATGCTGAAAAAGATCTCGAAAAATACCTTCAACATACCAAAGCTGAAGTTCACAGATTCCTCATGGACAACTTTAACACTAGTGATGCCCTCAAAGCTCTCAGTGAATTAGTAAGCAAAACTAATGTTTACTTAAGAGACTGCAACGCCCAAAAGAAAAACCCAAGAATCAATTTAGTTCAAACTGTTGCCGAATATGTCACTTATATCTTTAATGTATTTGGTTTAGTTGATAACAGTTCAAACTCTATTGGTTTTGGTAGTGGTGTCAAAGGTAATCTCGAAGAAGAAATGACACCAATCCTCGATGCCATCACTAAATTCCGTTCTGAAGTTCGTTCCTCTGCTATTGCCAAAGATACTGCCTCAATTCTTAAAACTTGTGATACCCTTCGTGACGAAATTCTTCCATTATTAGGTATTAAAATGGATGATAAAGGTGCCAACGGTGCAATTTGGAAATTTGAAGATAAAGAAACCCTCAAAAAAGAAATTGAGCAAAAAAAAGAAATTGAAAGAAAAAAACAAGCTGATAAAGAAGAAAAACTTAAAAAAGAAAAAGAAAAATTAGAAAAATCTAAAATCCCACCACAAGAACTTTTTATCCGTGAAACTGATAAATATTCCAAATTTGATGAAAAAGGTTTACCAACTCACGATAAAGAAGGAAATGAAATTACAAAGTCACAATTAAAAAAATTACAAAAAGAATATGACACTCAAGCCAAAGATCACAGCAAATATTTAGCTTCATTACAACAATAATAATAATAATAATAATAAAACAAATTGACCAAATATTATAAACCAAATAAATCATAACATTTTTTTTTAAATTAAACTACCCCTTTTTTAAAACATCAATACCACACCAAAAAAAAAAAAAAAAAAGATTTTTTTAAATTTTTTTTATATTTTTTTTTTTTTTTTTTTTTAAATTTTAATTTTTTAAAAATTTTTTTAATTTTTTTTTTTTTCATTAAATCAATTTTTTTATTTAATTTTATTCTTTTTATTTATTAAATTAATATAATAGTTAAAATTAAATGAATGAATTACCAGACGATTTAATTTTAACTCCACAACCATTGATTGGTTTAGTTGGGTGTCAAAATTTACATTTTTATATTGATAAAAACATTTCATTAAAGCCTTCTCTGGACTTTGAAAGAATTCATACACCATCAACAAACTCACCAACAATTACAGCAACATCATCACCAACACCTATTACACCAAATTTATCAACAGCAAATCCAACAGGTGGCAGTGGATTAATCAGTGGAGGTGGTAGCTACTCTTCAAGTCCAATAGATCCATATAGTGTAAATAATACAACATTTCAATTAAGCGATCTTACAATACAATCTGACGATATTTGGAAAACTCCAACTAAAGGCAATCCATTATTAACAGCAACAGTAAACAGTGGCTCACCATCCAATGGCTCCAATTCATCTTTAAGTAATCTTGTACAACAGCAATCACTATTAACACCAGGACAACCACAGCAACTACAAAACCCATCAATTCAGCCAGTTATAGTAGGTGGTTGGAGAGTTCAATATAACAATCTTCCAATTTTTAAAGTTTCAACATTCGAACCAGGTTCATTATCCACCAAAAAAGATAAAAAATTAGAATCTTATATTCCAATGGGTATTCTAAAGGCAAATTGGATCCATAAGCATAAAGCCTCTATCCCATCCGTAATTTCATTATTTATTCAATGGCCAGAGGATAAGAACCCAAAATCACACGATCAAATATTAGCCCAAATCGATTTAGTAAAGTAAGTTTTTTTTTTTTTAAATTATAAAAATCATTATTTAAAATATTAATAATTACAATTTTTTTTACAGAGGAAATATTAAAAGTAGAAATATTAAACTAATGGTTGTAATTGTAACTTCAGTAAATTGTAGGTTTTATATTTAAGATGAATAAAAAATAAAAATTAATATTAATGGTTTTCTTTTATTTGAAATAGTGGATAATCATGATGAAAAAGTTGTATTAGTAAGAAGAAGAGCAGATGTCGATCCAAAATACTTTTTATTTTTAAACAAACAGGATCTTAAACCATTTGTTAGAAAATGGGAAAGATTAGCATTGGAATTATCAGATCAATACTATAAAGATTTATGTCAAACTATTAGATCACAAATTACTAGAACCATTCATCCATTTTTAGCAATTAGATACCACTTTAAAATAGCATATTATTCAGAATTTAGAAATGATATACCATCAACTTTAAAGTAAATATTTTTTATTAAAAAAAAAATCACAATGAAAAATTATAAAACAAAATATTAATTATTAATTTTATTTAATTTTATAGGTTCTACAAAGACAGCTATAGTTTATTAAAAGACTATAAAATAAATAATGATAATAAAGGTATTAGGTTTGCAGAGGTTAGAAATTTAGCATCATTTTTTAATTTTAAAATTTGTAAAATATCATTATGGAACAATTTAATCCATGAATCACTTCAACAATTTGAAAAACATTCAAAGCTCTATAGAATATATATGGGTCCAGGTGAAAAAGAATTTACTCACAGTATTTGGTTAGCAAGAGAATATCAAATTTTTGCAGAGTTATTAGAAATGTGTCCAAACACAAACAAATCAACATTTATAACAAATCCAGGGTTCTATTACCAAATCTCAGCAAAACACTTATCATCAAGAAGAGAAAATTTCAAAGCACTCTCTGATCATTTCAAGACATCACCAAAAGTTTTGAAATTTAGAGACAGTAAACAACGTTATGATCTTACCAATCTTCATTATATTGGCCAACCACCACCAGATCTCTCACATCCATTAGAGTTACAATCTGGCAACACTGAAACTCATGATGAATTAGTTATAGCTGCCGATGAAGATGATTTCAATAAGAGTGTAGCAGCAGAGTTATCATTAAATTACACTACACTCATTATAGATCAATTAAACAAAGCATATGACCAATCTACAGTCAGTGGTAATCATCGTATTCTCTCCTATATCGAATCTCAAATTGCCTATGAATACTTTACTTCAAAACAATACGATTTAGCTCTCAAATACTACAGCAAGAACGCATTCACCTATCGTCGTGAAAAATGGACTACTCTTTTGACCCATAGTTTATCAATGCTCTTAAAATCAGTTCACTTATTAAATTTACCAACTAATTTTATTGGATATGCTTTAGACTATCTCTCACCCGAATTAAACAATACTCCAAGTGATCGTTCAAATATTCAAAAAAATATTCAATCCATTCTTTATGAACCAAATAAATTATCACCACCACTTTCACTATCAGCTCCATTGGACATTAATATGGATCACACACATCCACTAATCAATTGTAGAGTTCAATTCCCTCAATCATTTACATTCACACACAGTACCACCGAATTTTATGTTGTAATTGGCTCACATTTCCCAAATCCAATTGGTTTCAGTTCATTAAAAGTTTTATTCTCCGAGAAATCTTATAACAAAACCTTAACTGATAACAACAGTAGTGTAGCTAATAAAGGCCAATATAGTGTATCAAATATTCAAAAAGATAAAGAACGTTCAGATTTAATTTTCTTACCTGATGAATCTAGATTATTTTCATTCAAATTAAATACAAAAGAAAAAATGGAATTAGAATGTTTATCTGTAATTTTAGAAATGGGTGAGGGTAATTCAAAAATTAATTTTATTTGGAATGTTCAAGACTGGGCAATTAAATCTGATGAAACTGAAAACGAAGAGTTAACAAATATACAACCAACACCAAATAATAGTAATAATAAATCAAACAATAACAATGTAACAACAGTTAACGAAAATGAAAAACCAGATCCATATAAAAAGTTTTTAGAAAGATCATCAATAAGAATTTTAGATCACGAATCTTTAATCCAAATAAAATGTAACCATAATTCTCCAGCCATAGTTAATGAATTTTATGAAATTGAATTAGAAATTGTAAATAATGATAAAGAAATTAAAAAAGGTTCAATAACATTCGAAATTAATCAACAAAATCAATTTGAAAAAGGAATTTATTTATCACCAGATAGAACACAGCCACTTTCCCAATTAGATTTAGAAAGAATTTTAGAGAAAAAGAGTTTTAAAAAGAAATTTTATATATATTCAAGTGCAGTAGATGAAAATAAACTTTTAATCAATATTAGTTACGAAACAAAGACAGGCGAAATCTCCCATACCTCAAAAATGTTTATTATACCGGTTCAAATTGGTTTCAATACTCAATTCCAATTCTTTAACGATCACTTCCAATTAATCTCTGATCTTTACGATACTGGTGTACCAACTCGTGAGCAACTATTGCTCCTTTGCGATATTAGATCCAATTTACCATACAATGTTATCATTGAAAAGACAAGTTTACAAATTTCTTCCTTTGCTGAATCTGCTCGTAACTCAAGTCTTCTCAGTCCAAACTTAACTTTAACCGATGAAACTATTGCAAATATGCCTGTTGCTGAATTAAATTCAAATTCGAATAACACAATTACCTCTGTTGAACTTTCAAAAGATAATAATCATAGCAGTTGGTTCAATTTAGTTCCATTACTTATTAGCGAATCGATTAGTTTTGGTAATTTCGTTATTGAATGGAAGAGAAAAGGTGCAAATGTGAATCAAATCTCCATATTACCCATCGCATTACCACACGTTCGTACAACATCAAACTCTTTTATAACCAATGTCGAAGTTGCACAATTTGGTGTCGTTGGTGTACCATTTATCCAAACTATAACCATTCAAAATAATACACACTTTTTACAAGAGTTCGAATTGGTCGTTATTAACTCACCATCTTACGGTAACTCTGATATGCCATTCTTTTTCTCTGGTGATAAGCAATCGTCATTTTCCATTCATCCAGATTCAACTCACGAAATTAAACATGTTTTATTACCTTTAGTAGCTGGAAAATTAATTTTACCACACTTCAAAATCATTTCAAAAAGATTTAACAAGGAATTGGCAAAAACAAAAAATGTTAATAGTTTTATTTTTATAAAACCAAATTTAGAATGGATTAGTCAAAATCAATAATTATATAATCAATAACAACAACAATAATAGTAATAAAATAATAAATATATTTTAAAAATAAAAGAAAAAAATAAAATAATATATATTTTTTTAAAAATTTAAATTAAAGCTTTATTATTAATATTTAATGATTTTATGTAGTTGTATAGTTGCAGTTTCCAATCACTTTCTTCTAAAAAACTAAAAGTTTCCAATGAAGAGTTATTTGATATCATTGAACCAAAATTGTATAAAAAATTATTATTAAATTCTTTTTGGTGATATTGTTGGTAAAAATAAAATAAACTGGAGTTACTATAGTTATAATAGGAATTATTATTGTCGTTATCATCTGACAGGGCTAGGGTTTGGACATAGTGGTTGCAATTGAATTCTTTTTCTTTGGATTCTATTGTAAGGTGTTTTAAATGTTGATGATTGGATACTATATTATAAATCTGTTTCCAAAAATAATAAAAATTATCTACATCGCCCATGATATTGCTACTTTCGCTCTCATGTATATTATTACTATCATTATTACTATTATTATTATTATAACTTAATTTATTAAATGATAAATTATATACCAATGTTTCGAAACATAGTGAGATTATTAATGATTTTAAATTATTGGTTGTGTTTGATAAAATATAATATAACTCTTCCACATTTATGATATCTACTAGTTCTAATTTCTCTATATTTTGTGAAAATAGTTTTGAATGTGAATTTGATGATATATCAAATAACTCTTTGTAATAATAAAAGTGGGGATCTATTTCTATTGTGTCGTCAAAATTCCTTTCCACTAATACAAGTTCTTTCGGTTTGAAATATCTGATATATAATAGGGCATCTCTTGAATGGTTTGAATTAGTATCTATATCTAAAATATCTACAGACTTAAAATTACATTTGCCAAATGGTAGTCTGGGATGATCTGGGTCGATACTGATATGAATATCTACATTTAATCCATCTAAACTATTATTAAGGTAGTTGAACACATTCTCCTTAAATTCATTAGATAGATTATAAAATAAAAAAAAAGTTTTTAAAAACACCATTTTTTCTAAATTAATAAATTTTGATTTTAAACAATTGTTTTTGAAAAAATTTAACAAACAATCTTGAAACTCTGTAATATATATTGTTTTAATGTTTTCGATAACTGGTTTCATTATTAAACTACTATTGTTATTATTATTATTATTATTATTATTATTATTATTATTATTATTATTATTATTATTATTATTATTATTATTATTATTATTATTATTATTATTATTATTAATATCTTTAATAAAATTAAAATTAATTGAATAGTCAAATAACAATTTAATGGTATCAAACCAAAAATGAGACACTAATGAAAAACTTATTAATTCTTTTTTTTTGATTTCTAACTTTTCTTTTAGTTTGATTTTATAAGGTTCATAAAAACACTTATATTTTATATTGTTTATTATTTTGGATATATATTTTATAATTTCTTTTTGTAAATATAAAGGAAGTATCATTGTTATTGTTATTATTATTTGATGAAATTTTTTGAATATTAAAGTAGGTACTTTAATATTAAAAAAAAACTATTACCAAATATTAATATTACTGAGGGTGTGAATGTAAATTAATAAAAATTAAAAAAAATTAAAAAATTATTTATTTTTTTTATAAAATTTTTTTTTAATTAATTTAATTTTAATTTTTAATTTATATTAAATTAAAATAATTTACTTTAAATTTAAAAAACGAAGAAATTTTAAAATATAAAAAAAAAAAATATATAATTACCATTTTCCAGTTTTTATTTTTTCTAACAAAAATTTTAGGAAAAAATTGTATTTTTGAAAGTTTTGGTTTTTTCCATTGTTTTTTATATAAAAGAGTTCAACCAACCACTTTATGAAGTAGATTTACCATGAAGATGTACAACTTTTACGTTAAGTGGCTCCTCGCAGCGTGTCTGTTCCTGCACAACAATCTGTTGTACCGCGAAATCAACTCCTTTGGCTGATCAGGATTACAAATCCTGCTGGAAGCAAAACAATCTGTTCCTCTAAATATGAATATACAAAACACAAATATCCTATCTAATACAGTATCAAACTCAGCTGCAACCAATCAGAATGTATACTAGCCTGTGGACATTTAATTTTCTATCAGCTATGGAAATCTGGGGACTTAAATGAGGTCAGTTCTAAAGGTCCTGTACCAAATTTTTGACCAGATGGGAGATTATTAAATGTTTTAAGGGCAAATATACATTCTGATTGGTTGCAGCTGAGTTTGATACCGTATTAGATAAGATATTGGTATTTTATATATTCATATTTTGGGAGAGTTGTATTCCTAATCTGCCTGAATGGGTTAAGACTGCACCAACAAACTTCCATTACCAGAAGCTGAAAAGAAATTCTTGAAAATAAAAGTTATAAAATTATTTAAACTTATATTTTTTAATTATTATTTTTATAAAAAATATAAAAAAAAATCTAAAAAAAATCTAAAAAAAACTATAAAAAAAAAATATTTTATTTTATTTTTAATTTTTTTTTTTAAAAATTTATTTTATGGACAAACGTTTAATTTTTTTTTTACTTTTAAATAAATGGATAATAAAGATACAAATAATTTATTTTTTAAAGTCTGGAGGAATGTGGTTATAAGAGGTGAAATTACAAAACAATTAAAACTATTCATATATGATAACAAATTATTCAGATCAACAGCAGAATTAATAAAATTCCCAAATAAAGATTACCTTACAAATGTAACAATAGACTTTAATGAAGATTTTGATTTTGGACTATTACCATCCATTGAAATACTTGGATTTGGTTATTGGTTTAATCAAATGCCCAGGTTTAATCAAATACCCTCATCAGTTAAAACATTAAATTTTGGGAAAAATTTCAATCAACCACTAAAAGCAGGGGATATTCCACTATTCATAGAAAATTTAATATTTGGTGATAAATTTAACCAACCACTTAAACAAGGAGATATACCACTATCGATTAAAAAATTGGTATTTGGTTATTATTTCAATCAAATACTTAATGAAGGTGATATACCATCCTCAGTTCAAACATTAATTTTTGGTGATAGATTCAGACAACCAATTAATAAAGGTTCTATTCCTCACTCTGTAAAAATATTAAAATTTGGTACCGATTTTTTTGAAATACTTAAAGAAGGTGATATACCATCCTCAGTTCAAACATTAACATTGGGTGCCAATTTTAACCAACCACTTAAACAAGCCACTATTCCATCAATAAAAGCATTTTTGTTTAGTAAATTCGAAAACCCCCCTAAAAAGGCATTTGTACCATTATCAGTTAAAAATTTAACATTAGGCCGCTACTTTAATCAACCTCTTAATGAAGGTGATATTCCATCCTCTGTAGAAATATTAACGTTTGGTTTCGGTTTCAATCAACCTCTTTACAAAGGTGACATACCACATTCTGTTAAAATATTAACATTTGGTGGCTCATTTAACCAGCCACTAAATGAACAATCTATTCCTTCTTCTGTTAAAACACTAAAATTTGGTTACAGATTCAACCAGCCACTTAAACAAGGTGATATACCCCCCTCAATTGAAGCACTAACATTTGGTAACAGCTTCAATCAGCCAATAAAACCGGGTGATATTCCTTCATCTGTTAAAACATTGGTTTTTGGTCTTGGTTTTAAACAAACACTTAATAAAGAGGATATACCACCATCGATAGAAAAATTAATGATTAAAAATGTAATATAAAATAAATAAATAATTTTTAAATTTCTAGAATAATAAATATGATTTTATTTATGTAAATAGTCTTTTTAATTAAAAATTCTTAGATTATAAAAAAGAAATCATAAAAAATAATAAAAAAAGTATATTCTTTATTTATTTATTTAAATACAGTTATAAGATAAAATATAAATTAAACCAAATGAACATTTACTCGATTACCTTTTTTTATATATTTTAATTAATTTTTTAAAAAAAATATTTTATTTTATTTATATTTCTTTTAATTTTTCTGTTTCTTTTAGTTGATCACTAGTATTATTAAATATCAGCTTTTAATTAAAACAAATATGAAACACTGTTAGTGAAATTTAATTTTATTATTAAATGATAAAAATTTATACCTACATGAAAATCATGTAAAATTGATGGTAAATGAATAAGAATGTGTTGCAATTGGCCATCTTCTGGTAAACTTAAATAAATATAAATATCATATGCAAGGTGAATAATAGAAACAACCAAGTGAATAATAACAAATTTTTTAAATTTACTACTATTATCAGAATAGCAACTATTATAAACCATTTTAAAAATAAACCATACTAAATGTGATAATTCCCTACTGTAATCTTGAATACAATAATGAATAAATATTTTCCCAAACACTATAACAAGTACACTTTCAATACTTAAATCTTCATCAATTCCTTCCATTTTATAAACAATAAATAAAACTACAATAATTAAATTTAATAAATAATTTAAATGTATTATTTTTTTTATACATGTTTTTTAATTTAAATTGTTTAAATATTTTTTAAAAAAAATTTTAAAAAAAGATATAAAAATAACCAACTTTACTCATTATTAAAGAATCGTTTTATAATTGAAATCTATTAAATTGAAATATATATTTTTTTTTATATTTAGAAATTTTAAATTACCCCCAAAAAACACACTTAGATAAATATGAAAATAAAAGATAAAACATAAAAAAAGTATATATTTTTAAAAATTAAAAATTTATTAATTTATTTAAAACTATATATTTAAAGTATAAAAAAATAATTTAATAATCCAATAAATTTGATATTTTTTATTTTTTTTAATTTCTGTATATTTGGGCGGGTGGTTATTGGGAAATCAAAACATTTGAACTTGTTGGTGGGCTGATATCTACCACAATATTGAATATTATTTTGTTATCGACTACAAAGCCTGACTCTTCATTAATTTCTACTTTTTTATAATATCTAAAACTTCCAAAACCATATCCAAGATCTATAATAATTTTTAATAAAAATATATTAGAATCATACAAAAAATAAATAAATAATAATATAATAACAATAGTTACCCTTATCAAAAGTACTTGAATTAGAATATTTTACTGATTTTGAAGGATTACGGTTAACAAGTTCAAAGCTATATCTTGCTTGTACAGATGATTCTGGATGGTTTTTTTTGAATAAAAATATTGAAAGGAAATCGCTATAGTCCTTATAACCATTTAAATAAAGCTCGCAATTAAACTTGTAACTACCTAACCAAAATGCAGGACTTGCAAACATAGCACCATTTGGGTATGTTCTAAACTTTTCACTATAATTGTAAATTACCCAATTACATTGATATTTTTCAGTTGAGTCAATTCTAGAGGTTAAGTTTTCACAATTGATTTTTAATTTCTTTGCAATTTGGTCAAACTCTGCCAATTTCTTTTCGGCTGTTACTAAACGATTTTCGGTATCTTCATATTTTCTTTTAATAACTTCGTGTTTTTCTTTGTGTTGGTCGATGATATTTTGAATAAACTCTTTGTGATCTACATCTTTGATATGGTTATCAGCATCCTCTCTCTTGAACTCTGCCTTGCAACCACCATCTGAATATTTGCATTTAATAATAGTTTTAGAACAATCATTATCAATATGTTCTTTGACTGCGAATTTCTTTATTTTCATTTCACAATGTTCGCAATCGATTGATGCAAAACCACATTTTTCCAAATGCTTATCTAAATCCAAAGCTCTAAATGTTTCAGTACAGCCTTCCATTGTACATGATATATATCTATGATTACATTTACTTAAATGACTAAAACAATCTTCAATTTTAATGACTTCTTTACAACCATTAACTTCATCTTTTTCACTACTCTTTTCAAAACAAATATTTGGGCATTGAATCTATATATTATTTTTAAAAAAAAATGCGTTAGTATTAAAGTTTATTTTTAAAATTAAAAAAAATATTTGAATAAAATACTTTTTTATTACCAAATTGTTTTTTTAAAATAATATTTTTTGAAAGTGATTCTATTGATTCGATTGGTTCTCTGCATGTTAAGCAATTCTTTTTTGATGTTTCAAAATGCTTGGTCCAACACTTTAAGCAATGAACACAACCATTGCTACATTGAAGGATAGCCTTTGATGTATGAAAATTATCATGGTCGAACAAATAATCCATGCAAACATTGCAAACAAATTCGGATGAAAGTTCTTTAATTAAAATATCTTTTAATTCTACCATTTTAAATTTTAAAATTGAAAAAAAAACAAAAAAAACAAATAAAAACAAAATAAAATAAGACAAAAACTTTTTATAAAAATACAGATAATCAATATAAATACAAATAAAAATATATTTTAAAATAATTTAAAAATATAAAATTTAAATATCAAAAAAAAAAAAAAAAAAAAATTTGAGAAAAAATAATTAAAAATAATTTAAATAAAAAAAAATTTTCCAAAAAATAATTAAAATAAAAAAAAATATTTTTATTTCCATAAAAAGATCAAATTAAGATAATTAAAGATATATAAATAAATAAATTTTGTGCATATTTCTGTGTTAAAACCATTATTATAATAAGGATATTTTAACTTTATTTCTGTCCTATGACCCGATGTTCAAATTCATTTTTTACATTTCTATATTTGGTAAATTTTGATAAACCTCCATAGAACTATATAAATAATTTTAAATATGAATATTTGAAACCTTTATTAAAATTATATTATTTTTCTGAAATAAAATGTTTTGTGTTCAGCAAAAAAAAAAAAAAAAACAGGGCTTTGGTTTTTTTTTTTTCTAAAAAAAAAATAATATTTTTTTTTTTTTTTTTTAAAAAAGTCAAAGTTAAATTAATATACAAACTTAAGATGTTATATTCTTATATTTATTTATTTTTTTTTTTATTTGTAATATACAGTTAGTACTAAAAATAAAAATAAAAATAAAAAAAAAAAAAAACTTTTTTTTAAATTTTCGTTTTTATATTATTATATTTTTTTTTTATTATGTTACATTAAAAATTATAATAATTAAATAAAAAATATTAAAATTCAAATTATATTTTTTTTATTGAAAAAAAAAATTATTAAATAATCAAACTAAATTCTTTTTAATTATTTATTTGTATGAAATAATAAACGTTTTTTTTTTTATGCATGAAAACACACTTTAAAAACGAAAAATTCAAAAAAAAAAAAATTTAAAAAAAAAAATCAAATTTTTTAAAAAAAATTTTTACTTAGAGAAAGAGGCCACATTAATACTGTCTTTTTCTTTTTTCCTTACCGATTAGAAACAATAACAGAATGACAGATATCAAATTATTCGGAAAATGGTAGGCTATGTTATTATTTGTTGGATTATATATAGATTGATAAAGATAAAAGAAATTAGAGACTATTATTAAAAGATTAATGTTGGATTAGATACAAGAAAGAAACCTATTCATGATTATTAGAGATATCATCAATCTACAATTATTTATCTTTATCATTATCATTTATCATTTATCCAATATCCACACACACAAATCTTTCAAGAATTAAAATATTAACTCTCAACCTTTTACTATTAGGTCATACTCTGGTGTCACCTGCCCAGATATTTCTTTACAAGATTACATCTGTATTAAGAAAAACGTCTTCACTCCACACAGGTAAGCATCATAAAAATAAAACGAACAACCACCCCACCCACACAATGGTTCTAACAATTTATTTAAATTATTATAGTGCTGGTCGTTACAACAAAGTCCGTTTCAGAAAGTCACAATGCCCAATTGTTGAACGTTTAGCCAACTCTTTAATGATGGTAATTATTTTTTAAAGCGAGAATATGTGTTTGCATATGCAGCAAAAACTAATGATATTTTTTTATATAGTTCGGTAGAAACGCTGGTAAAAAAGTCATGGCCACCAGAATCATCGAACAAGCCTTCGAAATCATCTTCCTCTTAACTGACAAAAACCCACTCCAAGTTTTAGTTGAAGCTGGTATGTATTTAGGTTATTTCAAAACAAAATAATTATATATAAAAAGAGAAACTAATAAATAAATTTAATAAAAAAAAATAGTTATGAACTCTGGTCCACGTGAAGATTCAACCCGTATCGGTTCAGCTGGTACTGTCAGAAGACAAGCTGTTGATGTTTCACCAATGCGTAGAGTTAACCACGCCGTCTACCTCTTAACCCAAGGTACCCGTTCTGCTGCTTTCAGAAATATCAGAACAGTCTCTGAATGTTTAGCTGATGAATTAATCAATGCCTCAAAAGGTTCACCAAACTCATACTCAATTAAACAAAAAGATGCTCTCGAACGTACTGCCAAATCACACAGATAAAAGGGTCATTTTTGTTATATTTCCAATAAAAAGAAATTTTTGTTAAAAAAAAAAAAGGAAAAAAAAAAAAGAAAACATACAGTTATATAGGTTGTTGTTTATCTAGTTTTATTTATTTCTCTATATTTAAATCAGACATATATTAAATTAAAATTTTTGTCGCATAAATATTAAACTTCATTTTTTAAAAAAAATTTATTTAAAAAGATAAAAGGAATTTTTGGGTGTCGTATTAAATACCTAAATATTTGTATTGAATCTTTATTATATTTATAAATTATATTAAAGTATTTGTAAAAATACAAAACCTATTGACAGGTTAATTACAAATATTTAGTTTTTAAATTAATTTTTTTCAATAAAGACACACCCAAAATTTTTATACTAACAATTGCAATGACAAAAAAAAATTTTAGAAACATAATAATTTGGTTTTTTATATTTTTTTTATTTTTTTATTTTATTTTATTTAATTTAATTTTTTTTTGGCAATAAACATATATATAGTTAATAATATATAATATATAATATATAAAAAAAAAATTATAAAATTATTTATTTATTTAAAAAAGATTTTTTTTTATATTTTGAAAGAGAGTCGCTGCACATTAAATTAAAAATATGACATTGAGCAGTATTAAAGATTGATTGAAGCTTTTCAATATCTAAATTATTACCAGAAATGATTGGAGATGATTGATTTGAAGAGGAAGCAGATGAAGAGTTATTAGCGCTATTAACACAAAGATAATTATTATTATTACCGTTACTATTGAGATTACTATTATTATTATTTAAAATATTATTATTACTACAGTTTGGATCAATGGTTGAGTTTACTTCTAAAGATGATGTTGTTATATTATTTGGAGTTGTTGAAAGTGAAAAACCGCTATTGTTGTTACCGTTTAAATTTAAAATATTTTCATTACTATTGCTACTTGAAATACTACTATTGCTTGCACTTGGTGAGATTTGTGGTGGTAAATTCTTTTTAAAGTTTAAAACTGTATATTTGACTGTATAGGGTATATTGATTTCGAATGGAGAGTTATCTAAAATATATTTATCGTAAATTCTGTAAAATTCTTTTAACAATCTGAAATAGTCAACTTTTAAATACTTGTAAGCTTCGACATCGGTCCAAAAGTTTATATTTTCTTCACAAATTAATTCTTCTCTAAGGAACTTTCTAAAGTCTTCACGAAGAGTTGGATTTTGTAAGAGCGACATTAATTCGGTCGAGGCACCATCGCTAATCTTTGATAAATCACCACCGTCTTTGAGAAGATCGGCCAACTTGGTAAAGTTTTCATCAATGGCAATTTGGTATAATGGCTTGTTATCTTTGGCAACAGCAGTACGATCGGCACCATATTGAAGCAAAATTGTGACTAAATCTGCACGACCCATTCTAACACAATAATGGAGAGGTGATTCACCATTCTTATTGACAACGTTTACATTTGATTTGTTCTCTAACAATAAAGTGATCATACTTTGAGCTACAGTGGTATTGAAGATTGCTTTATGGAGTGGGGATTCACCATTCTTGTTGATTGCATTGACGTTTACACCCTTTTTAATAAGATTATCGAAAATTTCCTTTAATTGGCCATTGTTTGGTGCACGAAACTTTTGACAGAAATAGTGAAATGGTGTATTTAAATCACGGTTATTAACATTGACATGAATATCTTCAATCTCTAGTAATATTGAAATAATATTTGGGTTTATATCGTTTGACATAGAAAGGAAATGATGAAGACATGTGTAACCATTTTTATCTGGATTGTTGATATCGACTTTACAAATCTTATAATATGATAATATCAATTCAAACATTTCTAAATTATTATTTCTTGCTGAAATCATAAGTGGTGATTGATCTAAATCATCGACCGAGGTTAATAACTTTCCACCTTTTCTATTTGACGATAATAACTTTTTTACTTGTTTAACATTTCCTTCTTTGATGCTCTTATAGAGTGTCTTTGAATCATTTTTAAAATCTTCTTCGCTATATTCTTTATCGCTCGATTTATTAAAAAAATTACTGATCATTTTTTTATTATTATTTAAATAGTTTTATATTATATATTTATTATTACAAATTTTATCTATTATTTATTTTACTATTATTACAAAAAAAAAAAAAAGATTATTATATTTAATATATTTATAATAATTATGATTTATAATACAATTTTATAATTAATTAACAATTTTATCTATTATTAATTAAATAATAATAACAGAAAAAAAAAAGAATTGAATTTTTAAAAAAAAAAAAAAAAAAAAAAAAAATTTATATTATATTATATTATATATATCTATTATTAGTTGAGAAGAAAAAAAAAATCTATCAGTTAGTTATAAGTTTATTTATTTTATATATTTAAATTACTAAATATGCAATGGTGTATATAGACACTTGTTCGTGTTTTATGTTGTGATAAAATTTTAAAATTATAATTAAAAAAATAAAAAGTATATATTGTTTAAATTTATAAATATTAAATAAAATAAAATAAAACAAAATAAAATAATTTATTTAAAAAAACAAACAAACAAACAACTAATTTGAAAAAGACTGTTGTATGTGAATTGAGTGTGTTTAAAGTGTGAATGTGTTATAATAATATGTTTTTATGAGTTGGAAAGGGTATGTGTGTGTTTTATATGTGCTGATATTAATAGTAGTAATGAGTGGTTGTGGTAAATTGTAAATTGGGGTAAATATATACAATAAATAATTTTGAATTTTTTTTTTTTATCTTTTTTTTGAATTTTGTTTAGTTTTTAAAGACACTAAAAAAATTAAAAAAAAAAAAGATTTGCTGAAAAATTTAAAAAAAAAAAAAAAAAAAAAAAAGTGTATGAAATAATGTGGTGCTGATTGGGATAGGGTGAGACAAGTATTTATCTTTTTTTTATGGCTGGGGGTTTTCTTTTTTTTTTTTTTTTTTTTTTTTTTTTGAAAAATGAATGAAAACGATTTATATTATTATAAAATGGTTTATTATTATTATCATTCTATTATTTTTATTATTATGATTGAGTTTAAAAATATCAATAAACAATAATATTATTGATTATTGAAAAATTGAAAAAAGTATTGAAGATAATGAAGGAGGTTTCTTCAATAAATTCATAAAAAAAAAAAGAGAAACAAAACAACAGTTAAATAAAATAAAAAAATAATAAAAATAAAAAAAAACACACCCAATAAACACAAAGTGAACAAAATGAAATCTTACTAATAATAATTTTTGTTGTTATTGTTATATTATAATTAATGTTATTATTTTTATTATTTTATCGTTATTTAATATTTGATTTATTTGATTTATTTGATTTATAAATAAAAATAAATAATTATTTATATATTTATTTATTTTTTTTTATTTTTTTTTATTTTTAAAAAATGAAAAAAATAATAAAAATAATTTAAAAAAAAAAAAAAAAAAAAAAATTTTAAAAATTATTAAAAATAAATAAAATTTTAAATAAAAAAAACCGAATAGAAAATTAATGATTTTATAAAAGAAATTTTAAACAAAAAATCATTATCAAATATTTTACTATTTATATTTTATATATCCACTTTTTACGGTGTACATACTTACAAATATAAAACACAAACAAGAAATCACATTTTAAATATCAACAAACAAAAAAAACAAACAAATAAACAAATAGATTAGTAATACATTTCTTTTAAATATAATATTATATACATACACATAAACAAACATATAAACATATAAAATGTCAAATAAAATTATAAAACAACAATTAAAAATTTTAAATGGTGAGGAATTAAGAGTAAATAAAAGATTTCAAAAATTAAAGTCACCTCTAAGTAAGTAACTGATGATAAATATAATCTATAACACCATAACCACAAAACCACCAAACCACATATCACAAATACCACACCACAAAAACAACATAAAAATAAAAAATAAAATAAAAATAAAATTAAAGAAAAAAAAAAGATTATTATAATAATATTTTGCGATGGCTAAAACGTGTTTTTATGGCTTTAAATCAAATAAAATGAAAGATTGCAAGAAAAATAGATAGATACCACTTTGTGTTTTATAAATCCATCACAATTGATTCCAAACTTTTATTTCTTTTTTATTTATTGTTATAATATACAGATAAATACACACCAATATAATGCTAAACATAGTTTACTAATATTTTATTTTTATCTTTACAGATAAAGTTATCGAAAATAAAGTTGATCAAGATGAAGTTTTAAAAGAAAATTTAAAATTATTACAAAAGAAAAAGGTAATTAAAACCGAATCAAAAGCAGCACAGAAAAAGAGAGATATAATTAATTCAAATATTGAAAAAGAGAACTCTAAAATCCAAGAAAAGATTCGTATGAACAAAAGATTACAAAAACAAAAGAAGGAAAAAAGAAGAGCACAGGAGATGTTTTCTGTACAAATGCATTAGATATAATAATGGTTTTAAATTTATAATATAACGATAATAATAATAATAATAATAATTATAATAATTTTTGTAAATAATAATAAACATAAAAATAAAATACAATTACAATTTTCTTTTTTTTTTTTTTTAAATTAATTTATCATCATAACTAGTTATCAATAATTGGTTGTGTACATTTTATTGGGTTATTTTTTTATTTTTTATTTGTGTGTCTAAATTCTTTTAAATGTTGTGGATTGGTTCTATAGCAATCCTTATCGTATTTGCAAATTGGTCTTGTATCAAAGGTATCATCGGATCTATAGTTGCTTTTTTTGCTAGATTGGGAAGATGAAGAGGATGATTGGGTTGTGGATGGATTTACATGTGGAGAAGAAGATATGATTTCATTATCGGTGTCTTCATCATCGCTATTTTTAAAGTCGATATCGAATTGATCATCATTATTTTTATTTGATGATGAGGATGATGTTTTTGAAGATGTTGTGGTTGTTTTTTTAGCAGTGGAGGTAGTGGTTGATGTTGATGAGGTGGTTGTTTTATTTGATTTTTTTCTTTTTCTATCATGTTCATCCTCACTATCATTAGACATTTTGTCATTGTCACTATCGTCATTATTGTTTTTATTTGAAACTGGTTTTGCTGGGCTTTTTGATCTTATTTTCTTTTTGGGTCTTTTTTCTTCCTCTTCATTCATATCTACAGTGGTTGTTGAGTCTTTTTTGCCACCACCAGTGCTGGATTCATCTTTCTTTAATAGTAATAATTTATCATTATTTATGTTACCGTCTAAAATGAATTTTGAAATACTGGTGATTAAATCTGCTTTTTTAGATTTTGATGAAAATTTAATATTTTGATTGTTCATAAATGATTTCAAATCATCGACAGTTAGTTTTGAAATTTCACCAGTTTTGATCATATCTGACCAGTCTAGTGCTGATAAATCTTTTCCATCTCTTGAACGTTTCTGTGAGCTTGATGCACTTGACACTGATTGGGCATAGCCAGGTGGGAAAATAGTATCGCTAAATTCTCTACAAAGATCCAAATTCTTATCAATTAGTTGTTGGTCTGGCTGGATGTTGTCTATGGTCTCTTCGATTGAATCTCTTTCCAGTGCTAATGCTTGAAGTGATGCATAGTGTTTCTGTAAGCTAGGATTCAAGTATTTCTTTTCATCAAATTTTATCTTCATTGATTTAATAATCTTTTTTGCTAATTCTATGGATTCTTGGTCTTTTTTTTCATCACTTTTATTCTTTTTTACAATACCAACATTAACTGGGTGTCTAATATCATCTGCATATGGTAAATAAATAATATGCATACCTCTTGGTCTAAATTGAATTTTACCCTTAATGTTGTTTAGTTGACTCGATGCTTGGGATTGTGATGAGGTTTGTTGTTGAGAGGATGATTGCGATTGTGATTGTGAGTGTGATTGCGATTGTTGGGATGGGTGAACAAATGAATCAAATTCATTTATTAAAATTTCTTCTTGTGGTAATAGTGCCACCATTCTAGGGGCAGAGCCTGAACGAGATGTAAATCTACAAATTGCAACTTTATCAGATTTTAACATTTGCTCAACTAATGAGTTGAATGTTACAGTACTTCCTTTAATCATTTGTTCATCTGGGAAAATAAACGAAGAGTGTTTGATTGAATGGTATGCTTTAATAGCAGAGGTTGGTTTGAAGCCTAATAGGGTTAAGCCAATTCTATCTATTGATTTAATCGAGTCTAATTCGTCTTTACTAAAGATAACTGGTTCGCCACCATAGTAAAAGCTTTGTTTAATTTGGCTTGGTAATAAAGTTGCACCAGTGGCTTCACAAACATTCTTTACTAATTGTTTAACTGGTAAATTAGTTTTTGGATCTAATAAAACTGGGCTTGATTTTCTGGCAGTGCTAAATAAATTATACATTTGAGTCGAAATGACGATTTGATTATTATTATTGTTATCGCTGCTACTACCGATATATAATGGTATTTTACCTAATGAACGTTTTTTAAATTCTTTTCTTTTTAGTTTTGATAACAATTCTGAAAATTTAGTTGATGCATTGAATTGGTTAGGGTCGATATATTGGTCATCATCACCAAATACTAATATGTTTTGATAAAATAGTGTAAAGTCGAATTGCTCGCCAGGTTTATTCATTGAAAATAACTCTATTTGGATATTGAGTTCTGATAAATCTTTTGCACGCTGAATAGTTAAATTTCTATTACCCTCATTGTATTGATTTGGATTATCTTGGTTTGTAAATAAAAAGATTCTTTTGAAATTATTTTGTTGTTGAGATTGAGCTGATGTTTGTTTCATATTACTAAACATTGTTGAGCATGTCCATAATGCATCACATAGAGGAAAATCACCATTGAAATGGCCAAAACTTTTTGAAAAGTCGTTCTCTAAAATATCTTCTAATTGTAATATAATCTTTGGATCAGGTATATCTAATTCTGATAAAACATAAATATTTTCAAAATCATTTATATTTTTTTTTTTATCCTATGAAAAAAAAGATATTAATATTTTAATACTGTGGTATGATATGGAGGGGTATGCTACACCTACGGTATTATAAAAGCAGACACCAATTAAATCGCTTTCACTTGTAATAATTTTATCGGTAATGGTCTGAATTAAACATTTTATGGCATTGTAGAATGGTACTTCTCCGCTATCGTTCTGATCAAACATTGATTTTGATGCGTCAATTAAAAATACAATACAATCTCTATAGGAATATGGGTTTTGATAAGGGCTCTTTGTATAGTTGTTACCATGTGCATATTGTCCACCATCTGCATCTCCATTTTCATCATCACCTGCATCAAATAAATTATCCCATTCTTCATCCAATTGATTATTACCAAAATTTGTGCCACCAAATGTTCCTGATTGAATATTATTGCCCCAAGTTGTACTGGTCATTTATCGTATTTTGGTTTCGAGTATTACAAGAATATATCTATTTTTATTATATTATAAATAAATAAATCAATTATTTAATAAACAAATATTTTATTAAATATTTGATAAAAAAAAATTTAAAATAAAAATAAAAAAAATATTTTTAAATTAAATTTTAAAAAAATCAAAAAAAAAATAAATTTTTTTTACTAAATATTTTTTTCAAAAACAATTATATTCATAGCCTATTTTAAAATCTTAATCACTATAATAATATCTTTTTTTAAAATATTATAAATAAACTTTATAATGAAACAAAGAAAATGGTTTTATTTAATTTCTTTTTTTTTAATGTAGTTTGTCGAACAATCTAAAAATAGAATAGTTTTAATCGATTCATTATAAATAATTGTTTTATACAATAACAACAACAACAACAACAACAACAAAACATTCCACACTAATCAAAAAGAATTAAAAATAATTGTAAATTTAAAATCAAAAGAAGAACTCTATAATAATAAATAAGTTGACAAAACTTTATAGTTTTTATTGTGTATAATAGTGTGGAGAGTGGGTGTGTTTAGGGTGTTTGGAGTGTTTTTATTTGTTCCCATATTTTCATTATGTGTGTGTGTTGGGGGTGAATGTGGTATTTATCATATAAAAACTTTTATTTTCCATTCCCCCCATTTGTTGTGGGGGGTGTGTTTATTCCCCTTAAGGGTGTGTAAATTTTTAAAAGTGTTTTTTTTTTTTTGTGGGGGGGCCCCAAAACCCTTAAAAAAAAAAAAGGGTTTTTTTTTTTTTTCCAGGGTGTTTTAAAAAATTTTATTTTTTTTTTTTTATTACTTTTTTTTTTTATTTAAATAAAATTGAAAATTATTTTTAAATTATTTATAAAATATAACAGTATCATTGGGAAATATATAAACCGATCATTCAAATGCAATTTTATTAAAGTTTATCTCTTTCATATTCCTATTTATTAATATATATAATATAT